CTCCTCTTTCCTCCCGCCCCCACCCCCCTAAACCACAAACTTCGCCCCACATTTTAATACTGCTTTTTTTTAAAAAAATTCCAACCCTCTTTAAAAACCCCCCCCCCCTACTTTTACTTCACCAGCCCACCTTTCTGCAATTAAAATTTTTATATCTACCCAAACTTCCTCCTCCCTTAGTTTATTCATTTTCACCTCCCTTTACTTGTTGCCCTTTTCCCCCTTTTCCCTCTACCTCTTACTTAAAAGTTGCTCAATTTAATAATGATCCTATTATCAGTTGCCCCTCTAAAAAGTTCTCCTGGAGCCTACCCATCAAAACCCTTTTATCCACAATACATAATTACAAAATCTTTCATTAGTGCACATCATACCTTGTTTTTTATTTATCCTCTTTTTCAAAAAATATGTATTAAAAATTTTTCCAAAATCTTTCTACACATAATAATTAAGGCTCCCTTTTCATTTTTCCCCCGGCACCCAAATTTACCTACTACTCCCTTCCCAAATTTTTTTCCCTTTAGCATTGAAACCCCCAACCACCATTACTCTCCACTTGGTTCAAAAAACTCCCCCCGCATTCACCAACATTTCCCAAAATCTCTTCTCTCCTCCCCTTTCACTTTCTCTTTTCCCCGGAGCTATAGTTATTATAACCCCTTTTACATCCCAAACCCTTTATTTTATCCACATAATCCTTGAATTAATACATTTATAGTCCTCTTTTTCCTGCCCTAGCTTTCTTTCAAACATTATTGCTACTCCTTCTTTACCTTTCTCTATTTGAAACCCCCGACCAATCCCATTTGTTCCTCTCCACTGAAACTCTCCCACCTTATTTAAATCCACAATCATCTCTTCTTATATTTGACAAATCCAACACATTCAGGGGCTTCCCCCCTTTGCAATTTTCTTCTTATTCTTTTTTAGTAATTATTACAGGGGAAAAAGGGGTTATACCCATTGTTCCTGGATTTTAGTTGACTTTTACAAATGCATGGTTACGGATGAAAGTTCTTATTCCACTTCCCATGGATACCGTTCCCTTGACTGTTGTTTTCCCTCATGAAGTGGTTGCACAAAACGATTTTGGGTTTCGATGCTATGTCTTTTTTAACTGCACTGGAAACCCCCCTCTTTCCCTGCTATTCATTTTTTGACTCTTCGGTTCGCCTCATTTTCCGGGGCCTTTTTTTTTATTTTTCCAAGCTCTAGCACACTTAGCTTTGGCCTCTTACACTTTCAGGTAAAAACCCAAGGGCTCATTTGGTCTTCCCCTTGTTTCTGTTCCCCTTTGGGTAAAAAACTTTTTCTCTGCCTCCCGCATTTTTTGGGTCAATGTTCCTCATTTTTATTTCGTATTTCCCTCCATTCCTTTTCCCCCCTGACATCATGCAGGAATGCCTCATGCAGTTGTCCCCCTTTTGTGTTTTACTTTCCCTTTTTTCATGTGCTGTTTCCTTTCCACTGTTTGTTCTGGAAGCCTTTCATGTTGATATCCCCCAAATCTGAATTACTCAAGGAGAATACGAGGTCCAGCCTTGCTGGTTCATCCTTCCCTCTATTTGGTAATGTCCCTAACAATTTGATGAATGAGGTTTTCCAGTGCCAACTCCATCATCTGTGTGTGCGCGCACATACATTGTGTGTATGCTTGTGCGCATGTACGTGTGTGCATGTGTGTGTTTTAGATCAGTGGAGAACAGTGGTTGTTGGAATGTGAGGAGAGTAACATTTATCAAGGGGTTCAAGGACACCAGTTCCTGAACCCTGTACTTTACTGTGCAGGTACAGTACTGTGAAGTACAGAACCTGCAATGAAAAGGATGGCAGAGGATGTTGCTGCTTGGGAAGTCATTAACACTGTGAGGTCTGAACACTTCTAACAATGTCATTTTCTGGGGCACCAGTCATAGTGGGAGAGGGCCAATGCAGTGGGAAAAAAAATGTACTTATTTCACATTTAAAAAAATATTCAAGAGAATAATCCACAATTACATACTAACCTCGTAAGTTAACCATTCATGCGATCCATTGGGTCACAGGAATAGTGGTTAAATCTCGCCGAGTTTAAGAGCTTGCCACAGGAAGGAGTGATGGAAATTGGAGGTGGACAAACTACTGAATAGTGCTAGGGGGTCTGTGGGATGAGTGTAGGCGGGGGTTTCCCCCTGGAGTAGCTACTGGGGTTGGCATCAGTAGGCGCTCCTCTTGCCGATGTAACCAAGACACGGACAATGTGAAGTTTAACACATTACTTATGTTACAAAATATGTACATAAAAAAAAACCCACAGAGGAATGGGGGAAATGTCTTTTGGTAGGAAGCGACCTCTCTGTATGTAATCTTTAATGTCCTTAAAAATGATCGTACCTTGGCTACATGCAGCTAGGACACAGGATATGCTCTATATAAGGAAAATGGAAGGGGTTTTAATGCATATTGTCTTTATCATTGTATACAAAGACCTAAGAGGCAAGTTTTAAAAATGCATTTTTAATACAAAAAAAAATTATTTTTTTTTTTTACAAGTCGGCTGTCTCCCACCGAGGCAGGGTGACCAAAAAGAAAGAAAATCCCAAAAAAGAAAATACTTTCATCTCATTCAACACTTTCACCTCACTCACACATAATCACTGTTTTTGCAGAGGTGCTCAGAACACAAACAGTTTAGAAGCATATACGTACAAAGATACACAACATATCCCTCCAAACTGCAAATATCCCAAATCCCTCCTTTAGGTGCAGGCACTGTACTTCCCATTTCCAGGACTCAAGTCCGGCTATTAAAAATAACTGGTTTCCCTGAATCACTTCACTAAATATAACCCTGCTCACACTCCAACAGATCGTCAGGTCACAAATATCATTCGTCTCCATTCACCCCTATCGAACCGCCCCATGCATGCCTGCTGGAAGTCCAAGCCCCTCGCCCACAAAACCTCCCTTACCCCTTCCTTCCAACCTTCTCGAAAAACGCCCCCTACTCCGCCTTCCTTCCCCTACAGATTTATACGCTCTCCATGTCATTCTACTTTGATCCATTCTCTCTAAATGACCAAACCACCTCAAAAACCCCCTCTTCAGCCCTCTGACTATACTTTCATTAACTCCACACCTTCTCCTAATTTCCACACTCCGAATTTTCTGCATAATATTTACACAACACATTGCCCTTAGACAGGACATCTCCACTGCCTTGAGGTATTGGTGGAGACAAAAACATTATCCATGGAGGCAAAGAAGGGAATGTACGAGAGAATAGAGGTGTACCAACACTCTTATACGGGTGTGGGAAACATGGGTTGTAAATGCTGCAGCGAAGAGGCAGCCTGAGGCAGTGGAGATGTCGAGTCTAAATGTAATGTGTGGTGTAAAGTTATGCAGAGAATTCATAGTGTAGAAATTAGGAGAGGAAATGTGGAGTTACTAAAAATATTAGTCTGAGGGCTGAAGAGGGACTGTTAAGGGAATTTGGTCATTTAGAGAAAATGGAACAAAGTAAAAAGACTTTGGGAAAACATATAAAATTATTGGGGAAGGAAGGCAGGGTAGGGGTCATCCCAAAAAAGGTTGGAGGGAGGGGGTTAAAGGAGGTTTGCGGGCAAGGGGCTTTGGACTTCCAGCAAGCATGTGTGAGCGTGTTAGATAGGAGTGAATGGGGACTAACGGTTTTTGGGACCTGACGAGCTATGGAGCGTGAGCAGGTTAATTTTTTTAAGGGGTTTGGGAAACCGGTTAGCTGGACTTTAGTCCTGGAACTGGGAGTACAATACCAGGAGGGGTTTGGGATACTGGCAGTTTGGAGGGACATATAAACTGTCGTATCTGAATGCCTCTGCAAAGACAGTGACCATGTATGAGTGATGGTGAAAATGTTGAATGCTGAAAGTTTTTTCTTTCTTTTTGGAACAAGAGGCTAGTAACCCCTTCTCCTGTTAAATTACTAATTTAAAAAGAAAAAAATTTGTTTTTCTTTTTGGGTCACCTGCCTCAGTGGGATAAGCCCGGGTTGTTTAAAACAAAAAATTGAACCTTTCCCTTTTTTATCTCCGTCTCGCGTATACTCATTTTAACTGTGTTTACTCCTCCCACCTGAATTTCTCTTCCCCATTTTATCTTTGTTTTGCTTATCACCAAGACATATCTGGAGTTTACCTGGATAGTTTCGGGGGTCAACACCTCCGAGGCCCGGTCTGAGACCATACCTCATGGTGGATCAGGGTCTGATCAGCCACGCTGTTACTGCTGGCCGCATGTAAATGGACTTACGAACCACAGCCCGGCTGATCAGGTACTGTCTTTAGGTGCATGTCCAGTGCCTTCCTGAAGACAGTCAGGGGTCTATTTGTAATCCCCTTATGTATGCTTGGAGGCAGTTGAACAACCTTGGCCTCCTGACACTTATTGTGCTAAGGGTTCAACAATCAATAGGGTACCCGTCGTTAACTCAGTACCTTGTTTCATTGGTCAATCACAGGCAAGCCTGCCAAAACTGAAGCAACATGGTTCACTTGTGGTAAGAATTGACAGACTTGCTAGCTGCTGGTTGAGCACAGTGCACACTCTCTGGCTTCTGTTTTGCCTTTCTGTCACCATGGTATACACTTACTATTCCATCTGTACATATTGTACATACCTGTATATATCATCTGATGAAGGCAAATATACATTATGTCTACTGTTGAGTTATGTTTGCTCCACATTCCCATTACGACCAGGTCTCACAGGTCATTCTTTACCTGTACAGTATTCGTACGACTCTTCTCGTTCATTCATCATCCGGACTACACCCATGCATATTAAAGCAATCCAACAACAAAACTTCCTTTTTAATAATATTAGTACTGAATAATTTTGAGAAAAGAAAAACATTTATATCTCTCATGCCTATATTAGAGCAAATTAAGGCCATTTATATGCAAATACCCTATACTTACTTGTATAATGCCATCTCATCATGCACTACCACATCATGTTGGGAAAATTGTGGTCAGAAGGTCCAAGTCACACGAGGCAAAATCTTCATTTGCAGCCACCTGTTCCAAATTCACTTCAGATGGTTCAAACAGACTGTTGCTATATCAGAATGGCCACAGGTGAGTGTATACTGAAGCCACGCAATCAGGTAATTTTGTTGTGATGCAGATACAACATGCAGCTTCATATATTTGACACATGTCTCTATCAGATCCTGGAAATATGCAATTCATTTAATAAATTTGTGTCTGAAACTTCTAATACAAAGTAGAAGTGATATATGGAGAGGTTAAGAGAGTGGTGAAGGAATGTAAAAGGAGAGCAAATGAGAGAGTGGGTGAGATGCTATCAACAAATTTTGCTGAGAATATGAAAAAGTTTTAGTGAGATTAATAAGTTAAGAAAGCCTAGGGAACAAATGGATTTGACAGTTAACAGGAGAATAGGGGGGTTAATAGATGAGGAGTTAAAGGTATTAGGAAGATGGCAGGAATATTTTGAGGAAATGCTAAATATTGAAGATAGGGAAGCTGTGATTTTGTGAATTGGCCAGGGAGTTATTACACTTCTGAGGAAGAGGTAGATGTGAGGTTGGGGGGAGGTGTGTGAGGCTGTGAGTAGAATGAAAGGGGGTAAAGCAGCTGGGAATGATGGAATCAAGATAGAAATGCTCAAGGTAAGTTGGGATATAGTTTTGCAGTGGCTGGTGCTTTTATTTAATAAATGTATGAAAGAAGGGAAGGTACCTAGGGATTGGCAGAAAGCATACATAGTTCCTTTGTATTAAGGTAAAGGGGACAAAAGAGATTGTAAAAATTATAGGGGGAATAAGCTTGGTGGGTACACCAGGTAAGGCGTATGGCAGAGTATTTTTTTTTTTTATTAACACATCAACCATTTCCCACCAAGGCAGGGTGGCCCAAAAATTAAAAAAAAAACATCATTCACTCCATCACTGTCTTGCCAGAGGTGCACTTACACTACAGTTATAAAACTGCAACATTAACACCCCTCCTTCAAAGTGCAGGCACTGTACTTTCCCATCTCCAGGACTTAAGTCCAGCCTGCCAGTTTCCCTGAATCCCTTCATAAATATTACCCTGCTCACACTCCAGAATTAAGGCTAAGACAAAGAGCAGGACTGCAGATAAACAAAGAGGCTTTAAGAAGGGAAGGGGATATGTTGACCAAGTGGTTACATTGCAGCATATAAGTGAATATAATTTAGATAAGGGTAAAGAGGTTTTTGTAAAAGAATGGCATACAATTTCATCTTGTTGCTATTGTATACCATTCTTGTACAACTTGTCAGACACTGCAACATCATGGAATCTTGATTCTGAGGACATGTACATAACCTTCTTCATGGCTATGACAACTACTACTACAACTATCCCATCTCTTTGGGTATGACCTACTTCCACTGGGAAATCCCGCCTACCATTGACTATGCCCATGTCTGCTGTATGTCCCCTTTCTACCTGACATTATTATATAAGCTCTAGCCTCCTTGCCTCTGCTCCAGAACCTTCATGACTACAATGCTCTTCACACCAACTCCAAGGCTGAGGGACTGATTACCTTATCTTTTGTATATAGTTCTACTGTCTTCAAATTATGTCCCAGAATTTATATTGATAAAGCCATTGGATGGTGAAACGTCTACAATAAAGATACCCAGATGTTGCACGTGTGTCTTAATTTCATAGAGAGGTTTTTGTTGCATTTATGGATTTGGAAAAAGCATATGACAGGACTGACAGGGAAGCAATGTGGCAGAAGTTGTAAGTGTATGGAATAGGTGGTAGGTTACTGAAAGCAGTTACGAGTTTTTAGAAGAATAGTGGTGGTCAGGTTAGAGTAAGTAGGAATGAGATTATTTTCCAGTAGAAGTAGGCCTTAGACAGGGGTGCACAATGTCACCATGGTTATTTAATATATTCATAGATGGGGACTGTAAGAAAAGTGAATGCAGGTATAGGGGAGAGGTGTAGGATTAGGAAATAAAGAATCTAACAAAGTGGGAGGTTTGCAGTTGCTTATATAAAAGATGGAAATTAAAAGTGAACATTGGAAAGAGCAAAGTGATGAGGGTAACAAAATATCTGGGTAATGAAAGACTGGATATCATATAAGAAGGAAGGAGTATGGAGGAAGTGAATGTGTTCAGATATCTGGGAGTGGACTTGTCACCTTGTCTTTCACAGACTCATCTAATGACAAGTCCACTCCCAAATATCTGAACACATTCACCTCCTCCATTCTCTTTCCCTCTGATCTGACACTAATCTGACTTCCAATCTTTCATTACTTAAATATTTTGTTACTCTCATCACCTTGTTTTTCCTATGTTCACTTTTAATTTCCTTCTTTTACATACCCTCCCCAATGCACCTACCAACCTTTGCAATTTATCTTCAAAATCTTTCAGAAGCAATGTCATCAGCAAAAAGCAACTGTGACAACTCTCACTTTGTGTTAGATTCTTAATCTTCCAAATCCACACCTCTCCCCAACAATCCTGCATTCACTTCTCATACATCCCCATCTATAAACAAAGGAATAACATCTCCCAAAATCTTTCTCCTTTACATTCCTTTCTTCTCACGGTACACAGACCCACTTTTTGCATTCCACTCTTATTTTAATTCAAATAATATCTGAATTTAAAAATAAATTATGAATTGCAATTAGATACTAAATACAAATGCTGACCTTAACATTATACTTGTCTGCTAGAGCCAGTATTGGAAGGACTGTAGCATGAGAGACCTTCAAACGTCCAGTGTAGAGGTACCTTAAGAACAGCTCAAATACAACAACACACTCTGAAGCCTCTTGCAATATTATCCTCTGCTCTCGGCTCTCATTCCAGCGAGGGTTCATTAGCATCACCTGTTGAATATATATACTGTAACTGTGGTCCAATATTACAGTAGAGAGTAAGACTGGTAATTAACCCTTTCACTGTAAGGACCCTTTCTCACAACTTGCTCTCAGCGTCGAAGAATTTAAAAAAAAAAAAAAAATCGAGGAATCTTTTCCCGATGGTAATGACACAAAAAGTATGAAATTTGTTGGAAAACTTACAGAATTGTGCTCTCGCAAAGTTAGAGGTCTTGGTGATGTTTATGCATCGGCAATTTTGCCCACTTGGAGCCCTATTTTTGGCCAATTCCAGTGTTCCAGTCGGCTAAACTCATGGCAATTTTGCTATAACTCCTTTTGTTCTATTGACTGAGTACAAGAAACTGCCCATTTACCAATTTCAACTACTCAATAAAGTGATCAGAAATTAGTAATTTGGCCAATTTCATACACAAGTTAAAATAGGGTCCAGAATTAACAATTTATTTATTTATTTATTTATTTATTTTATGTCTTTGCAAACGTACATGAGTTTTGTATTTAAATGTGGGTTGAAATTTCAAGAGACCCTCTTTTATGCCTAGACTTATGGGCCAACTTAACATTTTGGCTTAAGTCTATTTAAATACTAAGGAGTATATCTGTTTTACCGTAGAATATTATTATAAATGAATAAAAATTTGTATAAAAAAGGTATATTTATATTTGAAAATGCTTTTTGTGAATAAATGTTTCAATTTTTTCTGTCAACAATGGTAAAAAGGTAAATGTGATTGTTTCGTTATGATGGGGGAGTACTTTAGGGAGAAAGTTTTGACTGAGTATTTAGATTTGTTGGGGTGATTAAGGGCTTTGGAAGAGTTTAAAATTGATTTTCAGCCCAAGTTATTTTAAATATCTTCCGGAAATGAATTCCATATTTTGAGGTCCTTTTGTGGGGGTTTTTTTCAGTGTGATATGGACTGAGGTTTTATAAAAAAAGAATCTGTGTCTTGTGTTGGGGTCATGTGTCCTGTTTGGTTTGGTGAGGAGAATTTTGAGTGGGGGGTTTATTTTTGTGGTTTAGAAAGAACGTAAGCAAACTAAAACAATTTATTGAAACGTTTCGGTCCTGGGCCCTTGATCATTAAAATTTACGAGGTATAAAGAATTATATTTATAGCGGAGGTGAGATTTGACCGAGGAATGTCATAAGAACATAGAATGGAGGAACACTGTAGGGCCTGGCCCCCATGCGAGGCAGGTCCTTATCAAAACAACCTTCCCCTATGTGAGGATGGGTAGACGATAAAAATCATGTGACCCCTGTGTTGTTGGGTTGGTGCGCTTAACCCTTTGCTGTTTCCGACGTATAAATAGTTTTTACGACCCAATGTTTCTGACGTATTTATACGCATAAATTCTAGCAGCTTCAAATCAAGGGGGAAAAAGGGGGTGGCCCCATTGGAAAAATGGGTTTCATGGTCAGTGTGCCCCATAAAAAAAAAATCGGGGACCCCAGTGGTGCATTGGGGGATGCCTTTTCAGTTGTCCATTTTCAGCATGTTAGGGGTTTAAGAAAATGTGTTCCCCAGCAAATCTGGGATCCCCCTTTCCCAAGTGATCTCTAACACAGTAAAAGTGTCAGTAAAAGATCAATTTTGTTTTGGAGGGTTTGAGACCAAAAGAAATGGGGGAGGAGGGGGGGGAGGAGGAGGGGAAAGAGGGGGGGAGGGGAGAAGGGAGGAGGGGAGGAAGAGGAGGAAAAAGAGGAGGAGGAGGAGGAGGAAAAAGAAGAAGATGATTAATAATATTTTTCCCTTTGAAGCAAAAAAAAAAAAGTCCCCCAGACAGTGAAAGTAAGGGGAGATAACATCTGTAAGAGCTGATTTGTGGTGTAAACGGGGGTTTAGAGCTGGAATATTACATGCCATCCCCCTCCCTTTGTTTTTGCTGGTCCCAAAAACTTTTCTGTCGTCTTTTGTCTGTTGTCAAGGTCCTGTCTGTCCATCTAGCTCTCTGTCTCAGAGAGAGCCACAAGACTGTGTCATCACATTTCCCACATTTCAAGCAGGTATAGCACTTTGTCTGGATTTCTTGGGTTATCCTAGGAAATTTCCTATGTATACTAGTTTTATGTGTCCCTGTGAGACGAGATAGGCGAAAAAAAGGAGACAGTTAAAAGATCAGAAGGGGGAGAAAGAAATTAGATAAAATGGGGGGGGGAAGCGCACCCCCCCTTTTTTTGAAGGCGGTGGGGGAGTGAGTAATGAGAAAATTTTGTCATTTGACAGTGCCCCCTAAAAAACAAATTATAAGCCACACACTGGCACAAAAAAAGACAAGACAAGAAAAGAAAGAAAGACAAGACAAGAAAAGACAAGACAAGACAAGAAAAGAAAAGAAAGACAAGAAAAAGAAAAGGGAAGGAGGAGGAGGAGGAGGAGGGGGGAGGAGGGGGAGGGGGGGAGGAGGAGGAGGGGGAGGAGGGAGGAGGAGGAGGAGGAGGAGGAGGGGAGGAGGAGGAGGAGGAGGAGGAGGAGGGGGAGGAGGAGGAGGAGGAGGAGGGGAGGAGGAGGGGAGGAGGGGAGGGGGGAGGGGAGGAGGGGGGGGAGGAGGAGGGAGGAGGGGAGGGGAGGAGGAGGAGGAGAGGGAGGAGAAGGAGGAGAAGGAGGAAAGGGGAGGAGGGGGGGGAGGAGGGGGGAAGGAGGAGGGGAGAAGGAGGGAAGGAGGAGGAGGAGAAGGAGGAGGGGAGGGGAGAAGGAGGAAAAGGGAGGGGAGGAGAAGGAGGGGAGGAGGAAGGGGGAGGAAAGGAGGGGAGGAGAAGGAGGAGGGAAGGAGGGGAGGAGAAGGAGGGGAGGGAAGGGGGAGGAGGAGAAGGAGGAGGGGAGAAGGAGGAGGGGAGAAGGGGGGAGGAGAAGGAGGAGGGGAGAAGGAGGGGAGGAGAAGGGGGGAGGGAAGGAGGAGGGAAGGGGGAGGAGGATGTTGTTTGTTTGTTTTTGTAAACAATTTTGTAAACAATTATTGATAATTTGTTTGTGTGTTTTGGTTGTATACAACGAGTGTATATTGTCTTTGCACCTTACTTTGGTCTATGGCCACAAAGTTATGTGAAAAAATAAAATAGTGAAAAAAAAAAAAACCTTAAATTAAAGAAACTAAATTTTTACGGGTGAGCGGCAGTCGCCGCTGTTCCCCAAACGCGGCTCATTTTCTGCAAATTCCGGCTCTATATTCTGAAAGTCCCGATGGCAAAAATTTTTTTTGAACTAAACATCAGAAAAAATAATCTTACATTTTCATAAGAAAAAATAAAAATTTTTTTTTTTTTAAAATTTGGGGGACATAGAATGACAGTTTCAGAGAGGGGGCCCGAAAACAGTCAAAGGTTAAAATTCATGTATGCCATGTTTTTTAAATTTTTTAGTTTCCAGTGTTGCGTTCTATTGTCGGTGACGGGATTAGTGAGGCTTTAGGACCCTCGGATCTGACGTTGGTTCGGGAGAACGGGTTGGCCTCGTTCCCGTTCACAAATGCCCGTGGAGTCTCTGTGGAGGACACAGGCGTACCTTAACGTTTGTTGAGGCATTTCGATGTTCATTCAGGCGGACTGCAAGATCTCTGCCTGTTCGCCTACTATTTTGGGACGAAACCCCCAGGGATGTGTGAGCCTGCTGTAGAAATTAGAGGTGTGGGGCTGCGTTTGTGTGAGGTCTTTGATAGGATGTGTTTTTGGTGGAAAGTTTTGTTACTCTTTGCAATGCCGGCGAGATTGTGGCAAAATCGCCCATGGGAGAACTATGAAATGTTTTGGGGGGTGTTCCATGGGGGGGTTTTTTTTAGGATAGCTTGTGCCCTTTGGGTTTCAATCCGGAGAAGAAAGATGGGAACGAAGACGTGTAAAGGTTGTGTTTTTTAGGGCACTTGCTTGAGTAAACATCAACGTTTCCACCCAAAAAAACATATCTATCAAAGACCTCACTCAAATGCAGCCCCCCACCTCTAACTTTTACGCAGGGGTCTACACTATCCCCTGTGGGTTCTTCCAAGAAATATGTGGCGGACAGGGAGGATCTTGCGTCCGCCGAAAGAAAATCGAAATGCCTTAACAGAGACGAGTAAGGTAGCCTGTGTCCTCCACAGAGACCCACGGGGTTTGATGAACTGGAACGAGGCACAATCGTTTCACCGAAACCCGACCTCAGACCGACGGTGCCTGAAGCCTCACTATCACCCTCACCCACACTATAGAACGCAACATGGAAACTCAAAATTTCAAAAAACATTTGGGATACTGATATTAAGCGCACCAACCCAACAACACAGGAGCCTGTTTTTTCGTCTACCCCTCCTATGTAGGTAGAGGTTGTTTTTTAAGGGGCCTGCCTCGCATGGGCCGTAGGCCTTCTACAGGTTTTCCCATTCTTTTTCTTATGAATTCCTCAGGTCACATTCACTTCCCCCCTTTTATATAATGTTTTTACCCTGTATGTTAGAAATGTCAAGGTCCCGGCCGAAAGTTTTCTAATAAATATGTTTTAGTGTTGCTTACGTGTCTTTCTAAACCAATTGCGGTATTTATTACCCAAATTTATACCATTTTGGGTATTGTCTGTGTATGTGTAGGCACATGAAAAAGTATGGTGTTTTTAATGGTGAGCAGATTCAGACTTTTGAAAATTTGGGGGAGTTGCTGGCGGGGGGGTGGGAATTTGTTATCATTCTTACTGCTGCCTTTTGTGGGTTTTAGGGTTTTAGGGATTGGTTGTTTAAACTCCATGCACAAACTCCTATGAAGATAAGGGTATATGAGTGAATGGCCCCAGGCCCGGAAAACTGATTGTGGAAAGTGTACCTTGGGCTGTGGAGATGTTGCAAAAGATGGAATAAGACACAGGTTATTGCAGAGGAAAAAATTTTTTTCGGGATAGTGAGGTCGGGTTGGTATGTGGTGAAAGGGAGATTATTCCCCGTAAAATAGGCTGTAGACAGGGTTGTGTGATGTCACCATAGTTGTTCAATTATTTATAGATGGAATAGTAAAAGAA